GTGTCCTTTCTAGTAAGAATTATTTCTTAATCATTACTTTGTGTTGTACAGGGTGGTAACATTGATTTCACAGACTTTGAAGAAGCCCTACATTTGGTGAAGAAAAAACATGAAAACACTGTACAGAAACCTGAATTTTTAATGGAAGTAACAGATGATAGAAAAGATGTAGAACAGCAGTTGAAACAGGTAAAAATTGATAATACAAAGATTGCATGAAATCATTGTGAGGTTCTTATTTTTGAGTTTGAATTATGTGACAAATGAGAAGTCTCTTTACCATAATGTTCTCAGTGTTTCATAACATTTGAGCAAAGGACCTCACACCAGGATCTTGTGATATTTTTTTTATGATTTCTCATTGCACTATAGGTGCAAATTGAATATGCAGATACAGTAACTGAGCTGGAAAAGACTCGGAATATGCTACTTCTGCAGTATAAAATAAACCAGGATTACCAGACTGAGTTAGAAGGAGTTAACGAGCAACATTCCCAAAAGGAAAAAGAATACCAGACCAGGTTGGAAGAGTATGCTCACCTTTTAGACTTGCGGGCAACGAGGATAAAGGTACATCCTACTCTTTGGGGGAAGCTTTCGTTTTTATTTGTGTGATTGTTCTGGGATTTTTTGTAGCAACCAGTAAATACAGCCAATATCTGCCTAGAAGTAAGTTTAAGGTATTATTAATGTGGGCAGATTATACTGTATGCATTTTTGTGTTTCCCAGTAAATACAATATATGTCTACCTAGAAGTAAGTTTATTATTGATGTGGGCAGATTATACTGTATGCATTTTTGTGTTTCCCAGTAAATACAATACATATCTGCTTAGAAGTAAGTTTAAGGTATTATTGGTGTGGGTAGAGTATATTGTATGCATTTTCAGATTTCCATGAAATACTAAATAGGGCTCACACATCAGGATTTTAACTGATTGTACATATAGTTCACACAACAAATTTTCAACTAATAATCTGTAAAGCTAATTGTGGTTTCCAAATGAAGGTCCACAGGGCCAGAGCTTGCCTTAGCACTAGAAGGCTTTAGGAAAGTGTGGGGCCTTTCATAGTATTTGGCAATAAAACCAATTTGATTGAGATTGTACAACAGAATGATGTGGCATGATCATCAATGGGTCAACTTTATGGTTTTTAAGTTTTGCAGTTCTGTCTTTAAGAACCACATGAAAAAAAACTCTGTTCAGGTCACTGATAGAGAGGACTAACACTTTACATTTTACAACTGGTGGTCCATAGGACTAACACTTTACATTTACAACTGGTGGTCCATAGGACTAACACTTTACATTTACAACTGGTGGTCCATAGACATAACAATTCATGTTTATAACTTGTGGTCCATAGGATTAATACTTCACGTTTACAACTGGTGGTCCATAGACATAACATTGTAATACACAACTGTTAGGTTGTTTAAAGTTTTAGATGATATTGTCCTCCTCATTATTTTTGATATATTAATTTTCCCAAAACTACAAGAGAATTAAACATTTACTGATGTTATTAACTTGCACATTACTTTTCACTACTGTGTTTCATTAAATGTACAGTGTTTTATTATGTCACTTGAATTTTAGAAACTTGAGAAGCAGCTCCATGACATAGCTTATGGAACCAAGCAGTATAAGATCAGTGACCCAAAAAATGTGAGTTGTTAGTCATGCTTCTTGCCATGTTCACTTATAAAGGTTTTAAGAATGATGAATTAATAATAAATTTTGTGATTAAATAATCAAATGTATGGATTTATTTGAACACCTTTAGATTTCATTTATAAAAGTGAAATAGTGTAGTTAATGGTTGTTTATACGCTATGTTCTTAATACTTGTAGACTTCCTCTGTAGTAGAGAAATAATGGAGTTAATGGTTGTTTATACGCTATGTTCTTAATACTTGTAGACTTCCTCTGTAGTAGAGAAATAATGGAGTTAATGGTTGTTTATAGACTATGTTCTTAATACTTGTAGACTTTGTAGTAGAGAAATAATGGAGTTAATGGTTGTTTATAGACTATGTTCTTAATACTTGTAGACTTTCTCTGTAGTAGAGAAATAATGGAGTTAATGGTTGTTTATACATTATGTTCTTAATACTTGTAGACTTTGTAATAAAGAAATATTTTTATAGTTAATCTTATAGTTTTGTTTCATTTCTAACTTTAATCAAAAGCAATAACACTGGATATACATCTTACTTATTCTGATTTCAGAATTGCTGACATTTTATTTAATTTTTTTTTACTAAGGACAATGAACTGAACCTGGAAGACTCAATTCCACTTGAACGAGGCCAAAATTTCTTTGAAATTCATATAGATAAAGTAAGTAGTTATAATTAAGTTACATCATCATGTTTTGATAAAGTAGTTACTATAATATAACATCATGTTTTAATAGAGTAAGTAATTAGAACAATGTTAGATCATCATGTTTTAATAGAGTAAGTAATTGGAATAATGTTACATCATCATGTTTTGATAGAGTAAGTAATTAGAATAATGTTACATCATCATGTTTTGATAGAGTAAGTAGGTAGAATAATGTTACATCATCATGTTTTGATAGAGTAAGTAGTTCGAATAATGTTACATCATCATGTTTTGATAGGGTAAGTAGTTAGAATAATGTTACACCGTCATGTTTTGATAGACTAAGTAGTTAGAACAATGTTACATCATCATGTTTTAATAGAGTAATTAGAATAATATTACATCTGCATGTTTTAATAGAGTAAGTAATTAGAATAATGTTGCATCATCATGTTTTGATAGAATGAGTTGTTAGAATAATGTTACATCATCATGTTTTAATAGAGTAAGTAATTAGAATAATATTACATCATCATGTTTTGATAGAGTAAGTAATTAGAATAATATTACATTATCATGTTTTAATAGAGTAAGTAATTAGAATAATATTACATTATCATGTTTTAATAGAGTAAGTAATTAGAATAATATTACATTTTACTCTATTAAAACATGATGTAACATTGTTCTAATTACTCTATTAAAACATGATTTAGAACAATGTTACATCATCATGTTTTAATAGAGTATGTAGTTAGAATAACATTACATCATCATGTTTTAATAGAGTATGTAGTTAGAATAACATTACATCATCATGTTTAATAGAGTAATTAGAACAATGTTACATCATCATGTTTTAATAGAGTAAGTAGTTAGAACAATGTTAGATCATCATGTTTTAATAGAGTAAGTAGTTAGAACAATGTTAGATCATCATGTTTTAATAGAGTAAGTAATTAGAATAATATTACATCATCATGTTTTAATAGAGTAATTAGAACAATGTTACATCATCATGTTTTAATAGAGTAAGTAGTTAGAACAATGTTAGATCATCATGTTTTAATAGAGTAAGTAGTTAGAACAATGTTAGATCATCATGTTTTAATAGAGTAAGTAATTAGAATAATATTACATCATCATGTTTTAATAGAGTAATTAGAACAATGTTACATTATCATGTTTTAATAGAGTAAGTAGTTAGAACAATGTTACATCATCATGTTTTAATAGAGTATGTAGTTAGAACAATGACTGATCTTATATATATAACACACCAGTGATCCTAGTTACCATGACTGATCTTATATATATACACCTGGAAAAAAGTTAAGCACCCCCAAATATTTTTCAGGATTGCTTATTGAAAATAAGGTTTAATTTTCATGATGTTGAGCAATGTTCATAATTTCAAATATACTTAAAAGGATGTGAGCGTTCAGGTGTGACATTTAAATCAGGCGCGTTTTTTTCCCTACGTGCAACTTGCTCCCTTCTTCACGTCCAATATGCACTATTTTCTCGTGCATCAAATCCGTATTTAAGTC